TTCCATCACCGCTTACCCAGAGTATTCACGCTTCTGCTGCGTGTTGCAGGTGGATGAGCTTTGTGAGGCACGTTTGTGTGTGAGCTTGTCATGGGGCATTGGACACTTTCAACATGACATTTAAAGTCTTCGGAGCGTGAAATCTGACACAAGCAGATGTGAACAGCCCCTCCGACCACGTTGTGCAAGTTTGGGTTCTCCACAGCTGGCACATCCGGGAGGTTTGACATGCAGAGTTTCCGGTTCGGTACGTACCCAGTGTTCAGCGCTTCGACACTTCGACAAACTCAACAAATCCGATGCCCATCCCACCAAAACCCCAAACCCTAAAGCCCTACAGCTCGTAGCGCTTGCACTCTCAAGCCTCGTATCCCTAAGCTCTAAATCCTTCAGCGCTTAAGCCCTGTTGAGCCTTCTGGGATCAGTAGACCTTAAAACCCTTCAAGTCCAAAAGTATAAATTCCCCAAGCCCTAAAACCCTAGGCCCTATAAGCCTTGGTAAAACCGGTTTAGAAGCCTTGTCGAACTTATCTAAAGCCCATATTCGAACCCTTGCAGAAACCTTCCACAATGCTATGAAACCAATAACACGATCCTTAAACCCTAAACCCCTAAACCCTCAACTCCTAAACCCGAAACCCAAATCCCCAAACCGCCAAGCCCTGAACGCCTAAACCTAAACCGCTAAACCCTAAACTCCTAAACCCGAAACCCAAATCCCTAAACCGCTAAACCCTAAACTCCTAAACCCTAAACCCAAAACCCTAAACCCAAATCCCTAAACCCTAAATAAAACCAAATCCCTGAACCCTTAAACCCCTAAACCCTAAGCCCTAAACCCTAAACCCAAATCCCTGAACCCCTAAACCCTAAGCCCTAAACCCCAAACCCCTTGAACTCCTCAACCCAAAGCCCTAAACCCTAAGCCCTAAACCTTAAACCCCTTGAACTCCTCAACCCAAAGCCCTAAACCCTAAGCCCTAAACCCTAAACCCCTTGAACTCCTCAACCCAAAGCCCTAAACCCTAAGCCCTAAACCTTAAACCCCTTGAACTCCTCAACCCAAAGCCCTAAACGGGTTTCTAAGACCAGGCCTGCCTCGCTGGCGATGCGACAGCCGTGACGCGGCTCGCCCCCGCAGCCACCAAGCGGGGGAGCGCGGGCAGAGAGCTCAGCATAGGGTAGGGTTTAGCGTTTAGGGTTTAGGGTTTAGGGTAGAATGGGGTTTTAGGGCTTAGGGTTTAGGGTTTAGGGGCCTTAACAATAATAGTTCAATAGAGTTTTGGGCCACTTTGTGGTATAGTTATAATCAGGAGCCCTAAGGAACAAGAGAGGTGATTGTTTAGGCCAGTATACGAGGGTACTCAGTCCTCAGGGTTCTTGGGCTTCGGGTCCCGAGGATGGGACTAGGGCTCGGGTTCAGGGTTTGGGAACCCTAAACNNCCCTAAACCCTAAACCCCATATGGGTGGGGCGAACACTTATTTTACGGGGTCTCGAGTTTGGCGTCGAAGCTTTGGGTTTCTGCCGCGGTACCTTGTTATAGGTTCATATAGGGGCCTTAACAATTAGAACAGGGTTTGGAGCATATTATACTATATCTATATTAAGGAACCCCCAAAACCGTGTTCTAATTATTAAGGCCCCTACATTATAGGGACCCTAAACCCTAAACTCTAAACCCTTGTTATAGGTTATAGGGTGGCGGACTGCGATGAGTAACTATACATGTTTGTCGCGTTGGTGAGAGGACCTCCACGAAACGCGTCGAGCCGGGTGCCCTCCAGCGGCCAGTACACTTACCTATACTATTTTGGGGTTTCCTTATTATAATTATAGTATAATATAGTATAATTATACCCCCCAATTATAATGATAGTATAATATACCCCCCCCAATTATAATTATAGTATAATATACCCCCAAACCCTATCCTAATTATAAAGGTCTCATCCAGGAGGCAGTTCGTCCCGGCCACGACAAGGAGGTCCACTTCGCTCTGGTGGTGCCAGCCCGCAGGTAGAAGACGAAAACAGTGACCCAGCGAAGACTGTCTGGTGCTTAGTAGGGGATGGGGGAATGGGTTATAGGGACTGCTATGAGGGACCTTAAGGGACTATCATAGGGATCCATTCCCCCATTCCCTACCAAGCACCAGACAGAAGAATGCACGGGGTGTATTGGCAACCGGCATCGCGTCAACTTGTCGGACTGCTGCCAGCTAGTGCTCTTGGCCATTCAAGGATTTAGGGTTTAGGGTTCAGGAACCGGAAAACCTACCACACATCAAGAAGACAATCACTACAAAATCCCAACAGTTCCTGCGAGACAAAACAAACATACACAAACATAAGAGCCCCGAACATTTACATCCCCAAATCCTACAGCCAAATATCTGAGCTACGTGCTAAGAACTAGCCTCAAGGTCTGTGGCCCCTCCACTGCGCTGCCCTGGCTCAAAGCCGTGGGGCTCGGGGCCCGGAAAGCTGGGATGATGCCGAGCTCAGGGGGACTCCGTGGGGTATGTCAACGCGGCCGTTGCGTCTCAGTTCTGGGCTTGCTAAGTTCAGGGATGTCTGCGGCTTTCATGGGCGGTATTCGCTTTGTCAGTTGTTGCGGGGGTTGTCGATCGACGTCATCTATGGGCTTAGCGGATCAGCAGGATGGCGGGGTTATCCGGTTTGAGACTACGGCCTGCGGCCCCGGGCTGGCCCTGGCGTGGCTTCATTCTTTCAGGGTCTATAGGGTTCGAAGCTTCGCTGCAGTATCAGGAGACCACAGGTTCCCAGATGATGTATTTTGAGCGCGGGGGGGGGGGGGGGGGG